TGATGGGACCCCATGCAACGTCCTCCATGGGGTTCCTGGGTGTTTAATGTCCCCTTTCTGGTGTCATTGGTGTGATGGAACCCCATGCAACGTCCTCCGTTGGGTCCTTGGCTATTTAATGTCCCCTTTGTGGTGTCATTGGTGTGATGGGACCCCATGCAACGTCCTCCATGGGGTTCCTGGGTGTTTAATGTCCCCTTTCTGGTGTCATTGGTGTGATGGAACCCCATGCAACGTCCTCCGTTGGGTCCTTGGCTATTTAATGTCCCCTTTGTGGTGTCATTGGTGTGATGGGACCCCATGCAACGTCCTCCATGGGGTTCCTGGGTGTTTAATGTCCCCTTTGTGGTGTCATTGGTGTGATGGGACCCCATGCAACGTCCTCCATGGGGTTCCTGGTCTGTAATTTCCTTTTTCTGGTGTTATTGATTTGATGGGACCCCACACAACGTCCTTCATGGGGTTCCTGGTTCTGTAATGTCCCCTTTGTGGTGTCCCTGGTTTGATGGGACCCCATGCAACGTCCTCCATGGGGTTCCTGGGTCTGTAATGTCCCCTTTTTGGTGTCATTGGTTTGATGGGACCCCATGCAACGTCCTCCATGGAGTCCTTGGCTATCTAATGTCTCGTCTTTGGTGTCCTCCATGGGGTCCTTGGCTATTTAATGTCCCCTTTCTGGTGTCCCTGGTTTGATGGGACCCCATCCAACGTCCCCCCGTTCTGATGGCCCCGTCCCCATGTCCCCCCGCAGACCGACCTGACCTTCGTGGGCTGCGTGGGGATGCTGGACCCGCCGCGCAAGGAGGTGATGGGCTCCATCCAGCTGTGCCGCGACGCCGGCATCCGCGTCATCATGATCACGGGGGACAACAAGGGCACGGCCATCGCCATCTGCCGCCGCATCGGCATCTTCAGCGAGGACGAGGAGGTGACGGGGCGCGCGTACACGGGCCGCGAGTTCGACGACCTGCCGCCCGCCGAGCAGCGCGAGGCCTGTCACCGCGCCTGCTGCTTCGCCCGCGTGGAGCCCACGCACAAGTCCAAGATCGTGGAGTTCCTGCAGTCCTTCGACGAGATCACGGCCATGGTGAGGGCGCCCCGGCGGGCCGGGAGGGCCTTGGGTGCTGCTGGAGATGGAGCAGGTCCATAGGGTGGTCCTGGATCTCCAGGACCTCCATAGGGTGGTCCTGGAGGGCCTTGGGTGCTGCTGGAGATGCAGCAGGTCCATGAGGTGGTTCTGGGTCTCCAACATCTCCATGGGGTGCTCCTGGATCTTCAGGACCTCCATAGGGTGGTTCTGGGTCTCCAGCATCTCCATAGGGTGGTCCTGGAGGGCCTTGGGTGCTGCTGGAGATGCAGCAGGTCCATGAGGTGGTTCTGGGTCTCCAACATCTCCATGAGGTGCTCCTGCGCTCCCAGCAGCTCCATGAGGTGGTTTTGGGTCTCCAGCATCTCCATAGGGTGGTCCTGGATCTCCAGAAGCTCCATGGGGTGGTTCTGGGTCTCCAGCATCTCCATGAGGTGGTTCTGGGTCTCCAACATCTCCATGGGGTGCTCCTGGATCTCCAGGACCTCCATAGGGTGGTTCTGGGTCTCCAGGATCTCCATAGGGTGTTTCTGGGCCTTCAAGATCTCTATAGGGTGGTTCTGGGTCTCTAGCATCTCTATGAGGTGGTTTGGGGTCTCCAGGATCTCTCTGGGGTGCTCCTGGGTCTCCAGCATTTCCATAGGGTGGTCCTGGAGGTCCTTGGGTGGTGCTGGAGATGTGGCAGCTCCATTAGGTGGTTTTGGGTCTTCAGGATCTCCATGGGGAGGTCCTGGATCTCCAGGATCTCCATGGGGTGGTCCAGGGGGGTCTCCAGCATCTCCATGAGATGGTCCAGGGGGTCTCCAGTATCTCCATGGGGTGGTCCTGGATCTCCAGAATCTCCACGGGGTGGTCCAGGGGATCTCCAGCATCTCCATGAGATGGCCCAGGGGGTCTCCAGGATCTCTATGGGGTGGTCCTGGATGTCCAGCATCTCCATGAGATGGTCCTGGATCTCCAGCATCTCCATGGGGTGGTCCCGGGGATCTCCAGCATCTCCATGAGATGGCCCAGGGGGTCTCCAGGATCTCTATGGGGTGGTCCTGGATGTCCAGCATCTCCATGAGATGGTCCTGGATCTCCAGCATCTCCATGGGGTGGTCCCGGGGATCTCCAGCATCTCCATGAGATGGTCTTGGGCCTCCAGCACCGTTTTGGGGTGATTGGGGGCCTCCAGCATCTCCATGAGATGGTCCAGGGGGTCTCCAGCATCTCTATGGGGTGCTCCTGGATGTCCAGCATCTCCATGAGATGGTCCTGGATCTCCAGCATCTCCATGGGATGGTCCTGGATCTCCAGCATCCACACAGTGTGGTCCAGGGGGTCTCCAGCATCTCCATGGGGTGGTCGTGGATCTCCAGCATCTCCATGGGGTGGTCCCGGGGATCTCCAGCATCTCCATGAGATGGTCTTGGGCCTCCAGCACCATTTCGGGGTGATTGGGGGCCTCCAGCATCTCCATGAGATGGTCCAGGGGGTCTCCAGCATCTCCATGAGATGGTCCTGGATCTCCAGCATCTCCATGAGTGGTCCAGGGGGTCTCCAGGATCTCCATGAGATGGTCCTGGATCTCCAGCATCTCCATGAGATGGTCTTGTATGTCCAGCATCTCCATGAGATGGTCCTGGATCTCCAGCATCCACACGGAGTGGTCCAGGGGATCTCCAGCATCTCCGTGAGATGGTCCTGGATGTCCAGCATCTCCATGAGATGGTCCTGGTCCTCCAGCACCATTTCAGGGTGATTGGGGACCTCCAGCACCATTCCGGGGTGGTTTCGGCTCCATCATCGCTCCGGGATGTCCCCGCGGTGACGTCCCCGTGTCCCCAGACAGGGGACGGCGTGAACGACGCCCCGGCGCTCAAGAAGGCCGAGATCGGCATCGCCATGGGCTCCGGCACGGCCGTGGCCAAGACGGCCTCCGAGATGGTCCTGGCCGACGACAACTTCTCCACCATCGTGGCGGCCGTGGAGGAGGGCCGGGCCATCTACAACAACATGAAGCAGTTCATCCGCTACCTCATCTCCTCCAACGTGGGCGAGGTGGTGTGGTGAGGACCTCGGCGCGGAGCCGGCGCCGCCCAACGGGCCCGAATCCCACCCGAATCCAACCCCGTCTTCTCGAGGACCGCCCAAAGCCACCGGGATCCATCGCAGTCCTTCCAAAATCCACCCAAAGCCTCCTAAATCCCACCCAAATCCACCCAAAATCAACCCAAATCCATCCCAATCTTCTCAAGGACCACCCAAAACCTCCCAAAATCCACCCAAATCCATCCCAATCCTCCCAAAATCCACCCAAATCCACCCCAATCCTCCCAAAATCCACCCAAAACCCACCCCAATCCATCCCAATCTTCTCAAGGACCACCCAAACCCTCCCAAAATCCACCCAAAACCTCCTAAATCCCACCCAAGTCCACCCAGATCCATCGCAATCCTCCCCAAATCCACCCAAATCCTCCCCAAATCCACCCAAAATCTACCCAAATCCATCCCAATCTTCTCAAAGACCACCCAAAACCCCCCAAATCCTCCCAAAATCCACCCCAAATCCACGCAAATCTGTCCACATCCCACCCAAATCCACCTAAATCTGTCCACATCCCACCCCAATCCCACCTAGTCATCCAAATCCACCTAAATCCATCCAAATCCACCTAAATTCATCCAAATCCACCTAAATTCATCCAAATCCACCTAAATTTGTCCAAATCCACCCCAATCCCACCCAAATCCACCCCAATCCCCCCCACCTGCTCCTCGTGGATCCCAGCTCCGTCCTCCCCCCACACCCGCCCCGATGGGACCCTCCATGACCCTCCCCATGGTTCCTCCATGACCTTCCCCATTGGATCCTCCATGACCCTCCCGTTGGTTCCTCCTTGACCTTCCCCGTTGGTTCCTCCTTGACCTTCCCCATTAGACCCTCCTTGACCTTCCTCATTGGTTCCTCCATGACCTTCCCAGTTGGACCCTCCATGACCTTCCCCATTGGATCCTCCATGACCTTCCCCATTCGTTCCTCCATGACCTTCCCCATTGGTTCCTCCATGACCTTTCCCATTGGTTCCTCCATGACCTTCCCAGTTGGACCCTCCATGACCTTCCCCATTGGATCCTCCATGACCTTCCCCATTCGTTCCTCCATGACCTTCCCCATTGGTTCCTCCATGACCTTCCCC